TGGGTAAAACGCAGAACCTTCAAAAGGTTCTGTCAAAATTTTTATCCTTTTTTGAGACTTTGAACACATTTGGAGCATTTTGAAAATCTGCAGAACCTTTTCGGAGGGTTCTATAAACCTCATTTATTTTTTTCAGAGTGGACATGACAAAACGGATATTAAGGAAACAGTAACAGATAATGTTGTTATTGAGAATTTTTTTCGTGATTTCCATATGTTTATTTTTGTGAGTTTGTAACTTTAGCAATTTGTTGTAATATTTAATAAATTAAATAACCATGTAAAAACTTTCGGCTATCAATCAAATTAAAAATTGATTATAATGGCACTATTATAATCTGGTTGTAAGCAGATTGTTCAGCCTTAAAAAGACTCATTTCATTTGATTTTAATCTTTTTTAAATCAATTTGAATCGATAATTATAGTCGTTGTAGGAAATCGATTAAAATATATTTAAAAAAAATCAAATGAATTCTGTCTTTTTAAGATTGAAAAATCTGATTAAGGTTAGATTATACTGGTGCCATTATAAACAATGTATAATCGAACCTTTTTTTTTACATAGGATGCTAATCCAAACACTTTACTAAATCAATTTTTGCTATACTCTTAAACTCTGACTTTTCACAAGGCCTCTAGTAGTTTTGTAATTGCTTTTAATGGCAAAAACGTATTTAAAAAATGATATTGTTGAGGGTTTTTGTAAACATGTGTATGAAGGCAAGAAAGGGTCTTATCTTTTTCTTATTAATCATGTGTTTCAACAGAAAAAAAAGATAGCACTCGTTTGTTTTTCTTGCATCACTCTTTGCAATATATAGAAGTTGTATATTTAACCCACTTTCTACATCAGCCATCAGTTGCTTGTGACACGATGTTTGTTTTTTTAAATATTAAACGAATCCAAAATGTTTCACCAATGTATTATTTTGATTGTCGGACTTGTGACTCTCATGTATGTCTCAGCAACAAACGCTAGTGGTCTCTGTTCATGTTCGTGTTGTGATGGTGATCAGTGTGATCAGGTATATGAAGGCACTGCAACTACCTCATCGTGTACTCAATCTAATTGTGTAACTGCTTGCAAGACGAAATTTGAAGATGCATGTGGTAGTTTTTTCACTACTGTTCGTGTCTCTTGCCAAGAGAAAACAGGTGGAATAGATTAAATGGCTGCAATTTGCACCTTAATTTTCAATCACTTAATGCATTGCATTAAAACCCAAAATATACCACAAGATGCATTGTGAAAAACTACAATGTTAAAAGTAAAGCTTATTCTAATTGTGTACTTTTGTTTTCTTTAAATAAAATTTATGAGGTTATGAAAAGATGAAATAACAAAACATTTATCTTCTTTTATGATCAAAATTTGATTATTCAAAATTTTGTCAATTTTGAAAAATAAAAGTACAACTATAGGGTGTACCAAAATTATAGACCACCCCTATACTCAATACAGAAAAATAGGTTTCTGTCTTACAGATGAACCTAGCTATTCAGTTGATACGTTCATGCAATACATACATATACATGATGTATTAAGATGTGATTACTGCCTTTTCTCTTCTCTTCGGCACGTGTAAAACTGGATAGAAACAAAACGCGATGCTGTGCCATAATTATAGACCCCTTTTCATTCTTTAGTTTTTTTCGTTCGAATTCGTTCGAGGTTAGTTTGTTCATTATATATTGATCGTCTATAAAGTACATTGTATTTTGTAAGAAAGAGAATGGGAAGAAAGGCTGTTAGTATTGATACAAAGAAGGGAATCATACTTTTACGCGATACTCGTATGTTCCAACATGAAATTTCAAAGAAATTAAATGTTTCTCGTCATGGCGTGCGTCAAACTATTCGCAAGTTCAACAGGCTTCATACCACATCTACAAAACCTGGAGCTGGACGTCATTCCAAAGTAACACGTCGCCAAAAACGCGCCAGCAAACTGCAACAACTTCGCGACGATACTCTTTCATTGAATGATCTCGTTCGTTATGTTCAAACAAGTTTGAACTTAAATATCAGTCGTCAAACAGTGAGCCGTGTCCTACATGAATTCGGTTTGGTTTCGTACGTCTCACCAAGAAAACCGAAAATAACGCATCAGCAAAGATGTTATCGACTCTTTTGGTCTTGGGATTTGGTCTTCTATTACGTACAATGACTTGTGGTCGTTAGTTTTTTTCAACGGACGTTTAAATTCAGATAAATATATAGAGATACTCGAAAACAGCTTACCCGCCGCGTTTGAAAAATTTCCGCCTGAACAATCGAGTAAAATTTTGTATCAACAAGATAACACTCGTCCTCATGCGTCAGCTAAAACATCCAAATATTTCAAGGAAAAGCATTTCAAACTGATTACATGGCCACCTCGAAGTCCCGGCCTTAATATAATAGAAAATATATAGTCCATGGTCGATGAAAAATTATTTAAATATAGCATTAACAACATGACACAGCCGGAAGAAGCACTGAGAATCGTTTGGACAGAAATTTTGAAAGATGTGACAAGAAAGCTGCTTCAATCCATGCCCACTAGATTTCGTCAAGTTATCAATTGTAAAGACTTTGCCTGTTGTTATTGAGTTTTGCGTCTGTTAAACAGAAACATCCAAAACAAAAGAAAAAAAATAAAGAATGAAAGGGAGTCTATAATTATGGCACAGCATCGCGTTTTGTTTCTATCCAGTTTTACACGTGCCGAAGAGAAGAGAAAAGGCTGTAATCACATCGTAATACATCATGTATATGTATGTGTTGCATGA